TTGACAACGAACGATCTTCTGTCATTAGCACAAATTACTCAAGACACTATGAAGACAAACAGTAAATCTGAACAGTAACAATTTTACCTTGTTTTTTGGACAGGAGGGAGGTTTGCAAATGTCTCTCTCAGATTCTCTCCTCTATTTGTAAAAAGTGAACTAGCCTATTAGCTTGCCTATATTCATTGTCATTCACTAACAACAGAGTATGTTGTATTCTTACTTGGTGTATAATGCTGGAGACCAAAGAAAACAGACTCTTTTTTTCTGGGTTCCTACAGTTACAATACTGTATATTTCACTAAAGTAGGGGAAGATTGGGGACAAATTGTACAAAAAGACATGTTGAATTCTAAGGCCGTTTTCACAGAATAAGTCAGGAGAATTTAACAATAAAGACTCTCAGCAAGAAATCCATTGTTGCACGAGTGATCTAAAAAAATAAGTCCTATATAATTAATAGCATTCATTTGTATTACTTCTAGTACCATATTACTGATGAATAGGACTTATTAACACTTGGTTTGCATGTTCCCTATGTATTTTTTTAAGTGTCATGCTGGAAAAAGAACAAAACACCATAAAAAAGATCCTGTGTCCTGTGCAATTACACTAACAGTAGGAGGACAGATTTACTCTGAAGAATTGCAGCTGCATCAGAAGTGTCCTGGCTGTTTTGCCAAACAAGCCGCTTGACTGTACCAGACAAAATTATCTGTAAGTGCTGGGATTCATTCAAAAGCCATCTTCATTCTTTCACACACAGAAATTCTAGTGTTTTCAGAACACTAAAACGCACTCCACGTCTGAAAACACAACTTTGAAGATGAGATCTTGCAAAACGAACTGGACTGTTTAAGTTTAGTTCGGTGCTTGTAGCAACACAGCACGTCCCAAAACGAGTAACTTATGACATAAGCTGTACAAATACAAAAAGTAGCACAGGCTATTTTAAAGTAACAGGCAGGTGAGAACTTTCCATTGCCCTATTACCATCAGGCATTTTCACACACACACCATAACTTGTGATATCTAAAAGCTCAGACAACCATTCTCTTTGTCAGACGTGTTAATCTTAACGTGTTAACACGTACAGAGGTTTGTGGACTAAAACCATCGAAAGGTCAATCCAGATCTGGCAAGCTGAACTTCAAGGTTAGCCACATAGTTTTGTCACAAGAAAAAATGAAAATACCGAAGTAAAGGGGTTCCATCCCTCTCAGACCGTCGAAAACCCAGTTCTGAAAAATGTTCAAGCAGATATTGCAGAGCTACAATGCTTGTCTGACAGTTGCCATAGCAATTTCCCTGTTAAAGCCAGGATGAGGATGTTAGGACAACCTGTAAGGGTTGCTCTTCCTGCTTCTGGCTGAATGAAAAGAGCTTCTTAGTTACCATGACAGCACCTTTTAATAACTACTTTCAAAACAGTCAGCAACTCAGGAAGGAAGAAAAAACTGAATACTGTTGCTACACAATATTCTAACTATATGTCCTTGAAGCTCATAAAATTGGTTTAAAACAAAACAGTCTTATTCCTTCAAGCCAAAGAAACTGGCTGAAGAACTTCGAAAATGGATGGGTGGACGAAAGAAGCATGTAACAGAAAATGCTGTGTTGAACTTGTTCGAAACACAAAACATAAATGTGGTTAGGCAACTTACCACTAAGGATAATTTTCCCTTTAATCATCAAGATAAACTCATTTAGTAAGTTCATTTACAGTACACAGGGCTAGTATTTAGCTTATTCCCTCTGATCTGCAGGAGGACAATTTAAATCTACAGTACATAAACTGGCTAAAAGTAAAATACTTTAAAAAAGACATTCATACAGAAATGTGAAATTCGAATGGAAGTTCATATTGCTTTATTTATGTCTGACCAAACTGGCAGAGCATTTAAACTTATATATCAGTAGCACCTTTTTTTCTACACACTGCTACTATTACTAGCAGTGCAGTAAAATATTTTACGCACTGCTCAAAATATAACATGCGGATTTTAAATATAAAATATTATACAAATTGCCCAAGCAATGTTCACAAATGAGATAGTATCATGATGTAGCAGTCAGAATATCCCCTATGTTTGAAATTTATTTTCATTCTTATACCAAGGTATTTAGTGAGCAACTGAGAAGTGCCTCATTTAACATCCTGACAACATGAGGCGCATTATTCTGATGGTGACAGGTGACCTCTTGGCTCTGATTGACATCCTTGCCCTCCTCTGCTAGAATCAGCTATAGAGAAGCAGTGTCCTGAGATCAAACCCGTGCAGATGGACTGGTATGCGGTCCAGAGGGATCTCTTTCTGTGCGCCCTGTCCCGCCTCGTTCCCCTGGATTCTGGAATTCCGACCTGCCGCGGCCCTCCCCGGACGCAAGAAGCCGCAGAGCAGTCCGGCGAAGGTTTGCAATGAGTTTTAATCCGTCACGGAAAGGCCACTCTGGAGACCAGACGGAGAGACTGTCTGGCGTGTATGCATTGCAAATGCTCATTACATTAAATACTCTAAAGCATCAACCTCAAATGCCATTCATGTTAGAGAACATGTTTTAGGACACGTATATTCAGAATGAACCTTTTCGCCCTTCACACAGATTTCCATATATGAGACAACGGCACGCCATATTCATCTTCAAGTTATATTGTAAAAACAGTCGAACAGGTGGTGTGTCACCAGCTCCAAAAAAAATCATGCACAAAATCCTACAGGCATAAGTGGTTTACTGGGACTGGAGGGCATTAACAAAAGTAAACAGATAACAGAAGCAAGCACACATATGCAATCTCACGTAGAAATAGCAATGGTGTGTAATACGGGACCTACATCGTTAGACTCCTAAAGGAACATGTACAAATGGACTCGGGGGGGATTGAATATTTTTTTAAATGAGAAACTTCTTCATTCTGGAGAAGTGAATGTTTTTGGAGACATTTTTTTTTAATTCATAAGTGTGTTTAATTTATTGCGTTATTAAAGGGTTAAAAAATATTTCAATGTATTAAAATGTAAAATGTGGAGGTGTAAGAGGAAGAAAATGCGAAAAATTCAAGGGGGTGCATACTTTCTGAAGGCGCTGTATGAAACATTTATCAGTAAACAACGATAATCTTGTCTTATTTCTCACATTCGGATTGGAATAAAATTACATAAATATTTTTTATTAGAAGAGTTTAGTGGAAAGGGAATTTGTATTCTTAATGGCAAACAAATGAAAAATTGTTGAACGAGTATTATTATTATTATTATCATCATCATCATCTTGTTTTGTTTTGAAAGAGCATGATAAAGATGACCATTTGGATCTTTCCCAGCTCTTATAGGTTTGCTTTACTCCAGGGACAGTGGTCAGGAATCCATGAACTCATTTTTGGGCCCTTCTGTCTTCTGCTCGTCTTTTGTTGTGCTCCTTTCTCTCCAGTGGAGTTCTAACCCTGTTTAATTGGCTCCAGGTCAGGGAATGGGAGGACCTTGCTGAAAGAGGGAGCTACAGCAGGGTGACTGAGCAGATGGTTTTTGCGGCTGTTTTTCAAACTGAGATTCTCTTGATAAAACAAAGGCTTTCCTGTTCTCTAGCGGTCGAAGATTAGAAATTTATCTGATGGAAAATCACCGTCCCCTTCAAAAAAGTTTTAAGCGAACACCAAAGACTGCAGGCAGCAAATCACCATAACTTAATGTCTTCTTAATTTAAAATAGACATCAGAAAAAGGACCACACTAATATTGTTCTTGTACAGAAGACAGTCAAAATGCCTTAAATACGCTGCCACATGACAAACAAACTGACACATGGCATTCTTGGCATTCTTCAATTACTACAAACAGTGCTAACAGCAGAAGAAGAACCCAGGTAGTCACAGCCAAAGCAACTTATAACGGATAACAGAGATATGAAATTCATGCCTATCTATCATCCCTGCGCATGACAAAGCACACTTCCCTATGAAAATCCCATCTTGCTATCAGACACTTTAAATGGTCCACTGATGAAAACAATTTTGCTGTCATTCCCTTGCAACACTGTCTGTGACACATTTGCAGGAGAGGCGTTTATCAACACCTGCTCAGGAGGGAATATGCTTCTAAATGCAGAATGCACAATACTGATGCCCGAGATAACTGCTCACTGTGTTCAAATAGTATAATTACATCTGTAGTGCAAAGAAAAGAACCAGATGCTGAGGCATACTATTAAACCAAGCAGAAATCAATCTGCTATACAAATAATACGTCTGGACACTTGCTATTTTCAGCCCAATGGTCCTAGCTTGTGACTTTGCTCCAGTAACAACTGAGACTCACATCAGACTCCTCATCGTTTCCAGGGAGTGTAAGAAACTGACTGCAGCTGGGTTTGAGGGTCATTTGAAGAACATACAACAGACAGAGCCAGGCTCCATTTTCAGTTAATGCTTAGGAATTGGAGCTTCTCTCTACAGACACCAAATCAATAGAAATGATAACACAGTTGCAAGGTCATTTGTGAACACTGCCGGAATGTATGTTGATAACAGGCACACAGCACAAAAAAAAAAAAGAACAGACTCATTCACTTCATGGACTTCAAATTTAAAGGGGACTTCTACACTCTGAACGATTTCGATCTTTAGAAAAGATTCTTTGCTTACTGTATACTTGGAAAATTAATACTTTGTTTTTCTACAAATTACATACAGCACAGCGTCATAGCTGTTTATTACTCTAGCATGCGTTTCACATCAATGCCTGTTACTGTAAACAGAAGAAAGGCACTGCTCCAACTCCAATTTCCAAAGTGTTTAGGTGTGCAGAAGACAATCAGGAATGTTTGTCTGAGCAGGAATGGCTGAAATGGAAAACATATACAGCACACCTTAAAAACGAGGACGGGTGCAGTCTCACCACAGTGAAAGAAAAGCATATGTGCAGCAGGTAAGAAGGCATCACATGAACTAACAAGCTCCTTCTGGAGAGTAAGAAAGTGCCTGTGATAAAATCGGCTCCTACTTACAGAATATTCTATGGTCCCTTTAGGTTTCTGGAAAGACATCCGACGCCCATCTTTCTTCTCTGGAGTCTTCTTCTGCCCGGTGTCTGAAAGCAAACGAGGCAAGGTGCGCATTACATTCATGTTCCTCTCTCCCCAGCTTGTCACAAGCTGCTGATTCCAGCCCTGTGGGCAGACAGCTCATTCGTCAGCTAAAAACAGTTTGCGCTGCAAGAGACTCTACCCCCTTCCCTTCTCCCAGCCAGCCAGCCAGCCAGCTGACAGATACAGATTCCTCTTCACCTTGCTGCTCTCAGGCTTCATCTCGCAGACAAGACACAGACCGCCGCGACCTCGGAGAGGTCGTTAACAACAGAGGCACCTGCTGGCATCTGCTGAGGGCATTAGTGTGGAAGAGGCTGAGCAACTGACTTCTCCTCCACGGGCAAAGTTACCCCCGCCATACAAGCCCCGTTAAGAGCTGACAGGCTTTTGTGTGTTGCTATGACAAAGAAACACTGTCACACATGAGTCACTGTGACCAAAAAGGCTTTTCATGAGACTAAAGATTGCATTGGGGGGAAAAAAAGATAACTTTGGCAAACAACAGGTGAAACTCTGTCAAGGCAGAATCCATGTTGGAATAGGTAGCCCTAGGTTTCAGATCTAGACAGTAAAAGGTACTGTATACCAAGTCGTTAAGAAACAAATATTCACCCTCTTCAAAGAATGCAACTAATTTCATAAAAGATTTCAGTGCAATTTCTAGGCTTTGCAAAAGTCACAAAAAATATTCTGAATGATTCTACTCATTAAAAAAAACTTGTAATTCTGTGATCCATAACACAATCCTAAGGATATCTTGTACTGCTATATTAGCAATTTTGTTTTGAAATAACCGATTTGCATTTTCATAGAATAACAAGCAGCTTTTAGACTTATGAATGTGTAGACAGGAACAACTGTGATGCTCCTGATGAGGAAGACCTGGCTTGTTTTGACTGGAAAATGTGATGGATTAGCTACAATTAAATGTCATATTGGCTCCTCATGCATAATTTACATTGAATTGTTGTGATGACGTTTTTGCAGTTTCTGATCAATGTGAATTTAAGATTGCGAAATTTCTCCCAAACTAAACTGTGTTCCTAAAATAATGTATGTTGTCCTAATAGTTGTTTATATACTGTAAATGACTGTCTAAGCTTAGTTGTTTTATGCTCGCAACTGGTAGTTTAAGAAAAGGAAAACTGAAAACAACAACTAAAAAGTAGACAAATTCTGCAAGACAGAATAATATTAATTGAGCATTCCAGTGATTCAATAAAAACAGAACATTAGTACTGAATAGTTCTTTTCAAGCGGTGTGATCCAGTGGTTCATTATTTGACAAGGACAATAAAATAACCTTTTCACCAAAGTAATAACTCTCTTCGGTGATCCATTTACCAACCTTGCAAAAGCCCTAATGAAGATCTTTGCATCGTCCAAAGAAAAGGGGAAGAAAGTTAAAACGACTTTTTCCGTTTGTCAGAAAAAGGAAATCTGTGCAAGAGAAACCTCATTCCGCCCCATATTGCAAATTGGTCTCCTGATCTCATCGAAGCCCATTTGTCAGTGTTTGGAACCCGTACCTTTCCAGACAAACCTTCCCCAAAGCTTGACCATCCTTATAAAGCCATTGGTACCAGCTGTGGGTTCTGCGATAGAACCTAACCTGTTTGGTTAGTAACGTCAGCAACAGTGGTTTGTGGTTTGGAAAGTTTTTTGATCATCTCTCACCGAAAGCGATCAAAGCAATTTACAGCACCAATATAACACTTCATTTGTGGAGCTGCAGAAGGGCAACACATGGTGATTTTAAAACATGCGTCTTCCAAACTTGGTGCTAAAACTGAGATTTTAGATCAGAAGCTGCGAGCATCTCATAAAAAAAACTCCCCCTTCCTTTTAAAGCCCTTATTTCTATATCAAATGCTTCTCGTTTCTAAAATAAAAGCTGTTGTCTTTGATTTTTTTTTTCACATTTCACCTAATCGTGCTGTGGTAATAATGACGGTGGACAAAACAGTTATTTTCATGAGGACAACTTGTTCATTTGCACTACATAATTCATTTCATTCAGCCATTGAACACAATGCAAGTCACCTGTTATTTTTTCAGTCAACAAAAAACAGTTGCACTGAAGCTGAAAAATTATAAACATCATTCCGTGAAAAAATCATAACATTGACAAACAGAATAAAGGGGGGAAAAGCCATTACTGCTTTAGGAGAATACAAATTGATTTTCTTACATTGGTACTGTACAGTATGTGTCTTCAAAACTGCAAGCCACTATCCTCAAACCTGTGGTTTATAAAGCTTATGAAAATGAATGAATACTACTCTGGTCAATTAAAACATGGTATTATATGGAAAGACAACATTAGTCATCTGCAATTTCATCCATCCACCTATTTTGTAGTTGTTTTGTTCCTATACAGGAACCCATCCCAGTGAGCAACATTTGCAAGGCAGGGTGCATCCTGGACAGGATGCCAGTCCATTACGGGGCTTGCACAAACACAAGACGCACACACTAACACCAGGGGCAATGTTCCCAGAAGCTAATTCATCTACCAGCGTTTCTTTGGACTGTGGGAGGAAGCCCATACACACTCCACGCACAGATAGCCCCCGCAGATCTGGGACTGAACCCCCGTGCTGCGAGGCAGTAACATTAACCACTGTGCTGCCCTCTAAATTTTCGGTTTATCACAAAAACAAAACTCCATTAAAAAAACTCAATAAGTAACAGAGGCCATAGCTACTGCAATCTAGATAAATCAAGAGCACAGCTGCAGCACAGGGGAGGGTATGTTCTAAAATTACATCTTCGTCCCAGCCACAAGAAAGAAGAAGGCAGCTCATTTCAGATCACAACACGTTACCAGACATTCAGGATTAAACCCTCAAACTACATCATGAACAGGGTTCTGCCTACATTGAGGCAAAATTCTGAAAACTCTGTGGCTCAACTGTGAGGTTAGTTTACCCTTTACCACTCCAAAAAATAAAAACCACGTGAAGGTAATTAAACCTCTTTTTTCAATTGTGGTAATCTTCAAATTTCAGTTGCATTCCGAATACAGAAAAACGGGAACATTAAATTAGAAATGCACTGCAGCATTATTGTGCTTTACCTGAAGTGCTTAACCATAACTGTACATTCATGCAAAATAAAAATCCTTGGCTTCCTTCAGCAGGAGAGAAGCAGTGTCAGGGGTTTTTCACATTATAATGCCTTAAAACCTGATTATACCATTTCCCCAATGGTCTTTAGTGCCTAACACATGACCTATTATCTTTATGCCTCTGATGGTTCTAGAATCCACCATTAGAAACCTGAAAAAAATAAGCACTGCTGAGTAGAGAACCCCTATTGCCTAACATTGCCTTGCAGTCTCAACACCACTATTTTTCTAGGAAGTGAGGCAGAGGTTTTTCTTCCATCTTGCTCAATCAGACAACACTATATTGAACAATGTTAACAGATTTTTTTTAAACTGAGTTTTTGTTTTTAAGCGGCAGTTTCTAGAACAGGTACAATAATGCTGTTCTCGTAAAGTCCATTACTTCAGACCTGTATACAGATACACTGCACTGTTTTTGACCATAAGAAAATACTCAAAAACAATGTAAAAAAAAATCCCTTTTCACACAGCACAGGAGGATCACTGCTACATTTGTAAGATGGTACCAGTGGTTAGTCATGGATCTTTGTGACCTACAGTACGTGTACAGTAACCTATGGAGGTCTGGTTCATGTTCCTACCTCCATGCGAATGCTAGGAATGTACTGTTTGAATAAGAGACTTTATAGCTGAAGACTGCAATATCTGCATTACTTAACCTTTGGCTTCTGTTCTACAGTATATTATTTATCCAGCTATCTAACTATTGTATTAGAAATACCTTTCCAAACATGTGGGCGACACAAATCATCCCCTTCACAGAGGATGCCAGACATTTGCAGGTTGACCTCCAAGGAATAGCTCTTTGCATACCTGGAGGTGAATGAAGTGACTGGAATTCTTGGAGCTTATTCGTGTCATGATGTGCAATTCATTCATTTGCGACATTCCAAGTTGTCCCTTGTCATAGGCTTGGGGCCTTCACCTCCACTCCCTTCATTACAACAACATCTACAGGTCTGGCTACAATGCTATATAAAACAACAAGTAACATGCTTTAAATAAAAAGTCAGTCGTCATTAAATATGACAGAATTTGTTGTGATATGATTTCAATGTGTAGCCTGATCTTGAATGAATTCTTACCTTCAATAGCACTTACTGTGGAAAAAAATACTGAAAGCACAAACTTGACCATAAATCAATATAATGTTTTGCCTACAGTGGCTCAAATTAATTAATTTTAAATTCATTTTAAATGAAAAAAGGATAGATACTAAAGACTAAGGTTTTCCTTAAATTGGAAATTAGAAATGTACGTTTGTTGGACAACAACAGAAGGTACAAGAGTGGAATATACTGTATATACTGTATGTTTCTTGCTAATTCTCCTAAAAAAAATTGTAAAGAAATCTTTTGAAACTTTTTTCCTTTAAATTCACGTAACACGTAGAAGTTATTTTATGTACCTCTCATTCACTGCAGCAAAGCATAACAGGAGCATTTCTTCATACAGTAGCACGTTACAGGGTGTCACAAACATAATTACAAACAGGCTCTACACAAGAAGGAAGAGGGTTATGAAATGGGCTCATTTCTGCACCCAAATCTTGACAGAAAGACGACACACAAGCCTGTCTCCATTCTGCAACACGCAGCCAAGTATTGGCACAAAAGACAGGAAATTAGCCAAATTATAAAAAGACTTGTATGGTATAACCTGTACATACTGTACTTGCATTTTAAAAACTGTACCTGAAGAAAAATATAATTTCACCCTTTCTAACCCAAAAGCTTTCTACGTGACCCAGGGTTTTTCCTCAATCTACAGAAACAGGTCATAGAATCTCTGGCAACTTGACAGAAATTATCGTTCCACATGAGAATCATCAACCGAAAATGAAACCTGCAAGCAAAGTGCTCATTTCCTAAG